AGTGCTGGAGAAAACACAGAGCAATTCAAACTCCGACATTGTTGATGGGAAGGCAAAATGTATGGAAACACTCTGGAAAGATGCCTTGACAATTTCTTATAAAGTTAATGTACATTTACCTTTATGATCCAAAAATTCTTCTCAGATATTTAATCTTAGCAATTAAAATGTCCATAGGCAGGAGAATGAATAAACAATAGGATGTCTGTGTAGTGGAGTACAATTTAGCAGTAAAAAAAGAATGAGCTATTAATACACACATGAATGACTCTTATCTGCATTTTTCTAAGACAAAGAAAGCCTTTCTCAAAAGGCTATATGATTCTATTTATCGGAGAGTCTCAAAGCAACAAAATTATAAAAATAGAGATCAGGCCCTCCCTGGTGGTGCAGCGGGTTAAAACACAGCACTGAGAAGCTAAAGCCACTTCCGCATGAGTTCGATTCCCGCCTGCCCCGAGGTGACCACATGGCGCGGCAGACCTCTCCTGACCCGCCCGCTGCTCAGCAGCGTACTTGGTTGATCTGCCTGTTCTGCTCCCCACTCTGTCTCTGGTGAATCCTCTCACCCTCCGCATCTCTGGCCTGTACCCCAGTTCTGTATGAATAAATAAATAAATTTAAAAAAAAATAGAGATCAGAGTAGTGATTGTCAGAGTGAAATTATAAAGAGCATCAAGAAATTTTTTGGGCTAAAGGAGCTGGTCTATATCCTGACATTGGCAATGTGTCATGAATCTACACACATACTAAGTCCTGAGAACCAAAAAAAAAAAAAGTGGGAGGTAATATTACTGTAGGTATCCATATCTTAAATAGGCAAGTTTATTATATGCTTTTTAAAATGTTTTTTAAAAGAAGGGAATAATGTTATAAAAGACGCAGGAAATTAAACAAAAAAGGTATTTGTCAGCCTTGCTTGGATCATGATTGGAACAAACCAATTACAAAAGATATTAATGATGCAACTAAGAAAAATTTATTACATTAAGTATAAGTTTTTAAAGTATAATAGCCTTTTGCTTATAAAATATGCTTCATCAGCTAGATATGTATTATGAAATATGTGTGTGTGTTGTGAACAGGATTTTGACTGAGATTTGCTTCAAAGTAGGGGAAAATGGAATATTGCGAAGTCCCCTCCCGCGGCGCCTAATATAATGGCAAATGTTAAAGCTGGAGGTTCATTATACTATTTTAACTATCATTTTACTATGATTGTATTTTTCTTAAGAATAGAAATGAGATTTCAAAAATAGAGTAGGACTTTTCAACATTTATTATAAAGCAGTAAATATGATAGGCTTACAGTTGTTTTCCACCTCAATGTCAAATCTTTCCAGTGACTCCAAATAAATAAATGCTGTGTGTGCCAAAAATAATACTGACACATGAAAAAAGACAGTCTCCTAAAAATCTTTTACCTCAAGCAATAAACTACTAAAATTACTAGATAGCATAAAGATTTGCAGTCAGATCATAAAAGAGCAAATCAAAATAGTTACATATTGCCATTTTCAATGACACTGTCAAAGAAATAAAGGGCAAAAATAATTTAAAGCAATTATTATGATTCCAAAATTCTCAGCTACAAATAAAATGACTTGGACTTTTTGATTCTCATCAATTATTTACATAGTGTGGCTTTCTTGCTGTGTTATTCCATTTTGTTGTCTTGAAGATCATTATTTATTGTTTCTTGGGCACTTAGCACTGCCTGAGATACAGACAATAAATTCCCTCTCTAGGGGACAAAAACCAAAACCTCGATAATAACAATCAAATCTTCACTAACAAAACACAAAGATTATCTATTTAAGAAATGAAAACCAAATGAAAGGTTAAGAAACACATTCTGATTTCCCTTTAATGCTTTAGACTTTTTTTTTAAAGATTTATTTACTTATGCATACAGACGGGTACAGGCCAGAGATGAGGGAGCAATGAGAGGATTCACCTGAGACAGATTGGGGAACAGAACAGGCAGATCAACGAAGTACACTGCTGAGGGGAGCAGCAGGCGGGTCGGGAGAGGTCTGCTGTGCCCTGTGGATCACCTTTGGGGCAGGCGGGGATTGAACTCATGTGGAAGTGGCTTTAGCTTCTTAGTGCTGTGCTTTAACCCACTGAGCCACCAGGGAGGCCCTAATGCTTTAGAATTTTAAGTCCATGATAGAACACATATATGTGGGGATGGCGTTGGGGGGACTGCAAAGCAAGATAGAAGTAGGCAAGAAAGACAAAAGAAACCATCTCAGAGATCATTCCAAGAAAACATCCTACCTATGTATCTTTGGTTTCTGATACATAAAAATCACTATTCCTAGGACCTACTCCTAGCTCTCTGCCTGTCATGTGACTTAGGTCTGCACAGCAGGCTTTCCTGTTCTCTTTCTGTTGATAACACCATTCTTTGTTTTAGGCACTGCTTCCTCTGGCCCCTGCATTCCTGATGTAATTGTCATAGTGGAACTTTCTATCTTATAATGACGTGCTGAAGGGTATAAGCATGAAACAGTCCAAAGTCATTTTTACAGGTCCTGTAATGAAATCCCTCAGCACTACCCATTAGACAATTTGCAAAGAAAAGCAGAAGTAAATGGATGTAGTATAAGTGCTAACATTTTGGGCCCAAGAATCAGGCCTTTAAGATTAGACCTTGGGCCTCCCTGATGGCACAAGGTGTTAAAGCACTATGAAGGTATCTGCAGCCAGTTCTATCCCCACCCTACCTCAGCTGGCCCACCCACTGCTCCCTTCAGTAGTGTATTTCAGTAAATCTGCCTGCTCTGCTCCCCACTCTTTGTTGAATCCTCTCACCCCCTGCACCTCCAGCCTATACTCTCAGTTTTTGTGTGCAAAAATAAATAAATCTTTTAAAAAAAAGACTCTATAGTTCTTACAGATCTTTAAATGGTACGAACTACTCTACAGACTTTTTGAGCTGATACACGTGGGTTTTAGTTTAGGATGGTTTGAATTGGGTTTCTTATCATTTCAGAGTCCTAAAAGGTTATATAAATTGCTCAATATTTAATGACTTCTAAATGGTACAGTCTAGTATGGTTCAGTCTAGTCTGCTCACCTCTACATGGTAAGTGCAAATTTACTTTTAATCCTATGGCTGTTGTATCCCTAAAATTAAGTGTTTAGATAGAGAAAGGAAAGAAAAGGGGATGATCTGTTTGATTTTATATTGTTTCCTGGTAATAGGAAGAAGATAAAAACTACAAAGACTGTAATATCTAATAAAACATTATTTTACTCCATTTTTCATGGCATGAAAGCATATAAGCAAGATCTCTAGTTGAAAATTGTATAAACTTCTACCTAAAGGCAAATTAAATCAATTATTCTCTTCTGTAATTCTAAGAGAGAACAGCATCAAAGACTTTTGTTCCTTCTATTGTGTACATTTATAATTTTTGCAATAAAAAAATCAGTGTTTAATACCAACAAAATAAAATGTTTAGGATTTTTAAGTTGAACAATAATCCATTTACATTTTCTAAAAATATGATTTACTGCCTCATCAATATATGCAAAAAAAGTACAGAATGAAGCTAACAGTTTACAAAAAGTACTTTTTCATAATAATTTTTTAAAAGATTTGTTTATTTATGTATACAGAACTGGGGTACAGGCCAGAGGTGTAGGGGGCAATGGGATGATTCACCAGAGACAGAGTAGGGAGCAGAACAGGCCCAGGAAGTACACTGCTGAGGGGAGCAGCGGTGATCAGGAGAGGTCTGCCGTGCCATGTGGGTCACCTTCAGGGATTGAACTCATGCTGAAGTGGCTGTAGCTTCTCAGTGCTGTGCCTTAACCCACTACGCCACTAGGGAGGGCTTGTAATACTTTAAGTCTCAAATCAGTTGTCCTGACCTCTTCTCAGTTTCAATGCTTACTTTACTTCTTTTATTGCACTTATTATGGTTTCAAATTATCTTGTTTCTCTATTTATTTACCTCATACACTACAAGTCATTTATTTATTCAATTAGCAGACCTCTTGATAGTTAAGTCAGCCATCACTTTTTTTTTTTAAAGATTTATTAATTTATTCATATGGAACTGGGGTACAGGCCCGAGAGATATGGATGGTGAGAGGATTCACCAGACACAGAGTGGGGAGCAGAACAGGCAGATCAACGAAGTACACTGCTGAAGGGAGCAGCGGGCGGGTCAGGAGAGGTCTGCCACGCCATGTGGTCACCTCCGGGGCAGGCGGGAATGGAACTCATGCGGAAGTGGCTTTAGCTGCTTAGTGCTGTGCTTTAACCGGCTGCGCCACCAGGGAGGGCCAGCCATCATATTTTTAACAGTTCACAGAAGACACGAAGTATTTGTCAAATTAATTTTAAAAAGTTATACTACTGTATTGACACCAATTACACTACTGTATTGACACTGATATCTTAAAATTAAAGATGATGGATCGTTCTATATTTTCCTGTAAATTAACTGTGGTGGAAATGTGTTTAAGCTATATGGTCATGAGTTGAGAGAACCAAAGGCTTTCTGCAGTTGGGCTTGCTAAATCCTTAGCTGAATCCTGGTGTTTCTGACTGAGGCCACAGGAGAGGAAAACTTCCTGCTTCAGCTCGAGTTCTTCTTTCACAATTGTGTCACAAGGACTGCACCCAATTTTGTTTGAAGAAAGTGTTTCCAATGCTAAACAGATGTTTAGGGTAAAATAGTAGAAACCACCGTGGAATGTGGAACGCAAGGTAGCTGAAATTATTTTGCATTCCAAATTATATTTGTTTTTCCTTTTCAAACTCAATGTGCTTTACTTTAATAATTTTATGGTATAATTAATTTTTTTCCGCCTCATTTTAAGGATGTAAGCAATTATACTCTTAGAGTTTTAAGAAAAAATGAAAGTCAGGCTCCTAGAATAGGAAAATCTTTGCCTTTTTGCTATGTAAAAAAAATTATAAGTTAACATCCTATTAGAGAATTTTAGAAAATTTAGATTTAAAAATTTCTCCTATTGTATTAATTTTATATTTTCATTTGATATCTTTTTCATTGAGAGAGCACATAAGAAAGTGTTTTGTGTTTCCTTTGCAGGTTAAATTTTATTTTGAGTAGATTTAACATCAGATTAGCTGTAATAGGATTCCAGGATGTGGGCAAGTGTCTGCTTGTCACGGACGAACGATATCTCTTGCAATCAACTCCTTCATTATTTCATTGGTACCACCATAGATTGGCTGAACTCGGGCATCCACATAAGATCTGGATAAATCAGAAGATGATTAAAAGAATAAATAACAAATTATTGGAAATCATACTTTTTGTCTCACCAGGCAATTATTACTTACTCCAAAATAATCAGTTAAGGAGTCCCCCAAGTAAAAGTCCTTCAAAAATTGCTTTTTTTCCAGTATGGCTTACATCTTACATTGATATAATTAAGACAACCTATTAAGATATTGCTAACCTACATTTCTAAGTGATTTATTCTATGCTGTAAAATTCAGCACATACAATAGCACTCAGTCTGTTTTAGATTCAGAAATGCATGGAATGGCTTAATTTACTTTGTAAGTTAAATTATTCACTTATTTCTCAAATAATCACATAAAATTTATTCCACAATAATGCCCCCTTAAAGCAGGATCCATTGGTTCTATAGAAAACAAACAAAAAAAGAAACTACATATTTTCTAGCGTCTCTGTAGATCCTACCACCATTACTGCCAGAGGGGAGTAAAACAATGCCTTAGAAAATATTACTTCCCACAAAGTTAACTAGTAACTTATTTTTTGGAAATGGTTAATAGTCATTCCAGTGATGTATGAGGTTAAATACTGGGTGACTGAATCCACTGCCACAAAAAACAAATCAATGTTATCAGGAATTCACATGGTAGCGATGAGAACAACCATTACATTATACAGTTGTTTTTTAACTTTTCTTGACTCACTTGATCCTCTCAGCTCTGAGATGAGGGAGAATAAATACTGTTTTGTGGATAAAGGAACTGTGGTTCTGAGAAATTAATACCATTACTAATTAATGGTTGCTACTTATTGGCCACATAACAGATAATTAGCCAACTGTAACAAGAATGTAGGGTCCCAACTTCTGGCAATCATCTTGTTATATCACAATATTTTCACTGGCTCTGCTTTTAGAATTAGTTTTTGAGGTTTGGACTTTCCTAGTAGACAAACTCAATGGCTTTTTTTTTTTTTAAAGCCTAAAAGTCCTATTTTTTTTTTCAAGTTTACATTTTAAAAAATCACATGTGTCAGCTCTCTAGGAACATGACCAAATCTGTACTTTACCTTCTCCATATTTATTATAGTATCTTGCAAACAGAAGACACTCAATAAATATTTGCTGACTTGATTTACTGCAGCACACAGGAATTTTAAAGTTGTAGTACCTAATTTCTGATGAAACATGAAATCTAAGGACATTTTTACTTTAAAAGATATTATTTTGTTTTTTGAACAAATTCTGTTGTCTACAAGACATTTTTGGACATTTTATTTCACATAAAAGAAGTTCCAAAGGTGTTGACAATGAGACATCAGTAGACCTTTTATAGGTTACCAATTAAATTCAGTCATCAACTAAAATTAACAGAGAAAGGCAATAGAGGGAATACACCTCAAACCTAACACAGCAGAGAAATCTTGGAATGGCAAAGCTTGAGTCTCATTTCTCACAGGCCCTAGGCCTAATAAATAAAATTGAAATAATTCGCACGCTTTAAGACCAGGCATTTAAAAACAAACCCCCCATTTTAAAAGCAAAAAAATGACCTCTTTTTATCAGTGAGGTTAAAACTAATAATACATAAACATACACACACACAATCTGAGGATTTAAGAAGCACAATTTGAATGACTTTTTAAATCAAAGTAAAGCCTTAACCATGCATTCATATCTCATCTAAATGTTGAATTCATTTCTTAACATTAGTTATTGCTTTCTTTTGTTGCAAAAAATTCCTCCCCTGTGCCTTCAGGGAAGAGAAACAGTAGTCTACCTTAAAAACTCATAAAAATCTTTGTACTAACAAAATGGCCAAGAAGGAGATTATTAAATAAAATATAATTTTTTCAAATTGAAACCAGGGATTTCAAGTAACCCATCAAGTCCCAATTTTGCTTGTTACCTACTGAAGGAATCATCTCTGAGAAAAGAGAGACCAAGACCTAACCACACTCTAATCTTGGGATTAGCCCATTTCGAGGGCTGACTCCCCTATATCTAACATGCCTTTCTTGGAATCTGAACTAAACTAGACAAACACTGGCCCACTGTATGTCCACATTCCCAGCAAGAGCCGGAACAGCATAGTTAGCACTGTCAATTTAGTGTTTAAGTTGGATTAATATTGTGAATAAAACATGAAAACAGTTCAGTGATGATTTAATTTGTGCTAGTGTAACTCAATGTTACTTCTGATTTCATTACTATACTAAGATAAAAAATAAATCTGCTTTTGATTAAGGCCTGTTTGAAGTTGTTCTTCTGTGAGATTACGCCAAGCCCAAGGATTGATTAAAAAAAAAAAAAAGAAAGAAAGAAATCTTTAGCTACTTCATTCCTTCATTGCAAGCAAGGAAGAGCCATAGTTGTTGTGAGCTTTTATATAAGTATAAACCCTACAGAGTCTATGATTAAAGCTTTCTGAGCTGCTCAATGGCTAGCAAAGATTAGTAAATTACATATCGGCTAGAGTTTCTGTTTTTAATGTAACTTTAATAAAATGTTTATTTTCCTTATTAAAGACTGTATGCATTTCAAATGTTTTCAATTATACTTGCCAAAATGATAAATTTGAAGTTAATTTGAATACTAGTTTGTTAAGTTTTCCCTTGAGATACTCTGTATTTAGATTAAAATCAGAAAAAGTTTTTAGAAATCCATAGTATTCTCATTCTCAGATTCAAAATTTTACTGGAATTCTCTCTTTAGAGTAAAAACTTCCTTGGGGAAATCTCTTACAAACTGAAAATACTGCTCAAAACGAGAAAAATATCTTTTCTAGAGTGATGAGGAGAAATGGCATGGGGAATCACTGTGGTAGGAAATGAAGGGAAGAGGGAGAAGAGAATGACTGAAATGAAGAGACCAATGAACTAGGAGGCTACCAACTGTGAAACTGTTACTGCTTTGAACTGGTAACAAGAGTATCCATTTGCAACACAACTTAAAAGGTGTATTAATTTCTTTGAATCTAAAGGAAATACAAATTCTTTTTGAAAAAAAAAAACTAATACTTTTTGTTTGTTTTTACAGCAAAATAAATATTCAAATATTGACGATAGGACAAATTAGCTCAGATGATTTTTTCTATGTTACCCTTTTCATTTTTCTTTAGTTTTGAAATAAGGAATATTTCAAAAAAAGATATAAAATCACCAACAGGTATTTGGAAAAAAAAAACAAAACAAACTCAACGTCACTAATCATCAGAAAAATGCAAATCAAAACCACAGTGGGATACCTCACCAGTCATGATGGTTAGTAACAAAAATCAATAGACAAGTGTTGACAAGGATGTGAAGAAATTGGGACCCTTGGGCACTGGCTCTGGAAATGGAAAATGGTGCAGCGGCCATGGAAAACAGTATGGAGGCTCCTCAGAAAGTGAAAGAGAACTACCATACTACTTGGCCATCCCCTACTGGGTACGTATTCAAAAGAATTGAAATTAGGAAGTCTAAGCAAAGGCAGCATTCACCTGCTCATTAAATCATTATTCACACTACTAATATGTTGAAACAACCTAAATGTCTATCAGAAGATGGAAAAAGGAAAGGTTGCTTATACTTATAACATGAGGGAATCTTAAGACATGAGGGAATTCTGCAACATGTGACAACCTGGGTCAACCTTAAGGACATTTTACTAGTAGCTAATAAGGTAGTCACAGGAAGATAAATACTGTGTGATTCCATCTATATGAGATCTCTAAAACAATCAAATTCATAGACTCAAAGAGGGATGGTGGTTGCCAACAGCTAGAGGAAGGGGAAGATGGGAAGTTATTAACCAATGGGTGAAATTCTCAGTTACGGGCCTCTCTAGTGGTCCACTGGTTAAGTTTCAGCATAATCAGTGCTATGGCTTCAGTTCAATCCCGGCCAAGGAACTGAGCCACATGGCACAGCAGACCTCTCCTGTCTTGCCTGCGGCCCCTCAGCAGTGTATTTCAGTCAATCTGTCTGTTCTACTCTCTACTTTGGTGATTCCTCTCATCCCCACGCACCTCTGGCCTACACCCCAGTTCTTTTACACAAAAATAAATTAAAAAAAAAAATTTTTTTTAAAGTCTCAGTTAAGGTAGATGAATGAGCTCTAGGATCTGTACTACATTGAACCTGAAGTTAATAATACACTATCATAGACTTAAACATTGATGAAAAGTAGATCTCATGTTAAGTGTTCTTACCACAGTAAAATAAACTAAAATAATTAATAATACAAATTAAAGAATAACCTATATTTTTACCCACATTAAAGAGGATAAATCATTCCAGATTTTTTCATTTTAGTATGAGCTGCTACAAGCTGAAGGAAATAACTTGGATATGTGTTAACATTTAAAATATATGTTGTTCTGAAAAAACAATAATGCATTTGGGTCTCTGTCCTGTTGTCACTGACATGTACCTCAGGTAAATGGTATTTGTTGAAATATTGCTACAATAAAAAACAAGTATCTGAATACTTACAGATAACTAAGAAAATTAATATTATTTAACTATTAAGTAATTTATATCAGTTCTTTTGTGTAATAAATCAATGAAAGTTTTGCATATTGGTCTCTTCACTTTCTTCAAAGAGGATAAAATTATCATATTCAGCTGATAACATAAAAATGTTTCATCAGCTTATACTCTGTAGTTAGTTGAAAAATGCAAAGCTTATGTACAGCTTTCCCTCTATATTCAAGGTAGAAAGCACAGTAATTTTCCTCATTCTTCACATCATCCAAGAGCGTGCAACACAAGAGACATACTCACTTGGCAATTGGGTACTCCCACATGTAGCCCCAACCTCCGTGGAGCTGGACGCAGTCATAAGCCACACTGTTTTGCAACTCAGATGCCCTAGACGATCACACACAAAGCAGACAAGGAACACATGAAATGAATTTTCATGTGATATTTTACAAACAGATCAGTAAACAAATTATGGATGACTACTGAAGTGCCTATATTCATCAAATGATTATAGTCAGCATATTAAACAATTTACATAAGTTACATATGAAATAAATCTTAGGAGAATTTTCACATAACAAATTATTTCTTCATCAGTTACACTTCCGGCTGGGTTTTTATTAAGAACAGAAACAAAATGTAGAAAATTTAGATTATTGACCATAGGCTATGTTAGGCCTTAAAGAATCTAGTAAAAACTTGAATTTCATTTAATTTATTTAGATTCTCTATATGATCCAAGTTAACTCTACCATAATACAGCTATCTATGTCCTTTTGCTTTTCTCATATACACCATTTTTTTTCCTTCAAATATATCATTTCCTAATCAAATGTTCCAACTCTTTGTAACCAGGAAAAACAAATACTTTTTCTGGCCTTTCAGAAATAAAGTGGAAGTAAACACTACTACTAAAGCCATTCTATCAAATAGAAAAATTATTAAAGATTATTTGGGAATTATAATTCCTAAAGTATATGTATATTTAAGAGGAAGTATTAGAGATAGTCTATGCTGCCCTTATCATAATTATAACTGTCATTAAAATCTATACACTAAGTGATAGGGATTTTATTTTCTTAATATAAAAATATATTCATGCAAAATTTTTTCAATTCTGGGAAACCTAAAGCAAAAGTAATAAACATTGACACATTTTTCTATTTAAAATAATGTTTAAGTCAAGCCATAGGTGAGGATGTTAGAAAGAAATACAGTAATAATATAATAATGAGTAACAGAGAAGACCTGGGGAACAGTGATTTTTGGAATTCTATAAACTTTTGGATTTGAAAAGTATCTCAGTTAAATATTGACTGAATGATAGCTAGTTACTTCCTCCATTTCACTGTGAAATAACAGGATGTCTATAAATCTGGAGTTTTCATAGAACAGTGAGGTCAATACCTATCCAAATATCTTTTGGCAGATAACTTATCTGATTCTTTTTTACACTTTTTCCCACTAGTCAAAGAACTTGCTATAAATGAACACGTAAAGTGTCCCCCACCCCCCTCAAGTGCAAGCTCCTGGTAATTTTTTATCACTCTCAACCTGACAATTATTTTGGGATTATTATATAAAACACTTTTTCTGTGTATCCCCATTCTACTTATGATTGAACTGAACACAAGTTAATGAATAATGACAGGAATTTTTTCTAGGTTACTTTAGGACTAATGAGATGTGAGAATGTTTCTTTTTTAAAACAGAGGCAACCAACCCTACTTCCAGAATCTGATTTAAACTATATTCTTGCATCTTAATATATACAAAAGTCTTATAAGGGTCTTTTTTCAATTAACACATCTTCATACCATTTTAAATCATCTTTAATACAAATAAAAGTCTTTCTAAAGTTGACAAAACATTTTTTTTTCTTTCCCTTAATAGAACTTGTGTAACTTCTAATTGGATAGTTAGTTCTTTGGGATTTTTTCTTAGATCTGGAAAAAACATTAAACAGAAAAATCCAGTCCTGTCTATTCATTTTGCCCTGAGAGAATAGAATGTAATTATAATTATTGTATGAAAGAGCTGGGACTCTCTCTCAGGACTCTAAAAGTTTTACTGTTCTATTACCAGTCTTCATATAATTTGAAATTAAACTACCACTTCAGTGAATTAATCAGTCATCCAACTTCAGTCTCTTAATATTTTATTTTCAATGGATAGCTAAAAGTTAAATACCAACTTGAGTAATTTTTAGCATATTTTAAATAGACTTAATAGGAACTGTCAGCAGTTTTTAAGAACTTGGTTCTCACTGCTAGTTTTCATTTACACAGCCTTCTTCCTTTAAGACCCTCAAAGGTTGAGTTTAAAGTTGGCAGAATTCCATAACAGTCTGAGCAAACACATTTTAATTACTGTAGCACGCATACCAATATTTCGCCATGGAAGCCGAGGCAGAGTCCAGACGTTTAGCTGCATGCAGCTGGAGACAGCTGTCCACAAAAGCTCTGGTTACACAAATGTGTGTTTTTAATTCTGCTAGTTTATGCTGCACAGTCTTGAGTTTAAAGGAAATGAAGGGGAGAAAAATGAGTATGGCAGATGTACACATTTGAGTCATTCAGCATATCAAAAGTTATATATTAAAAGATCTTCCTAACAAAACAAGTAGAATTATTAGGCTATTTTTCCCGTCCAAAAAGAAGCTTAAGTTTAAAATTCACAATATTTCAATGCTAAATAAACTTGTACTAAAAAGAAAAGATGTAGAACAGATAGTATATAAATAACATATCATTTTAGATTCTGAAATTTAGTACATTTCGGGAAACGCTACATTACAGCCTGCGTTCAATGAGTGTGCGCCCTCTTGTGGTATAGTCGTTTAGCTACAGCGGTGGAAAACACCTATTTGGAATCTACTCCGCGGAGAATTTTTCTCTACTAATGAAGCTAAGTATACACATTTCTCTACTCGGCTTTTTTGTTTTCGAGCAAAATAAGAAATAGTAATGTGACCTGCACCTACCAGTTCCATAACGAAGCAGTGGGAAGGTTGACACCATTCTTTTCCCACCTCTAGTTGAATCTCTAAAGCTGAACATACTGGGTAACACAAAACGTTCTTCCCCTCTTTTTTTCGTTCTATCTCCCTTCCTACTCACTTATATCTCTACCCTCACTCAGCACTTAGTTTCCCACTCCCAATCTACATCCAAGGTTATTCATAGAAGATATAAAATGGAACGAGAAACAGATAAGAAGCGGGGAAATACTTTCCTAGATGTGGGAAACAGATGAGCGTAGATAGATAGATACACACACACATTTTTATGGAATATATATATACATATTTTTATGGAATATACATACATATTTTAATGGAATATGCATACATATATAAATATGCATGTATATTTTTATATATTCCATAAAATATGTATGTATATTCCATAAAAATATGTATTCTAAAAATCTGAGCTCTAAGCCTATTTCTGGGTTCTCCATGGTACTTCGCTTGGAAAAATAAGGGGGGAACTGACATGTCAAGTGATTTTGTCCTTCCTTCCTTGATGCTACATTTGAAAATTTATACACTATTCACAGCATGAGAGAATTGAGATTTCTAAGCCCACATGAAGGGTGCTCCTATATGAATAAAGGGAGCTTCTAGAAGGTGAAGTTAAATTTCAGGCCAGGATGGGCTTTTTTTAGAATTCTTGCTTCAGTGCCTTTAGTGAGGACCACAGATCTGAATGAATTAATGCCTCCATCATTTATGCTCTGGGAATAAAGATGAAATATTTACGTACAGTTGGCATAGAGTTGGGTGTTCCTAAAAAGAGTTGATATTTGTTCTTCGCCACAGCAGTGTGTGGCTTTTCGAAATCATGCTGTAATGAATGGCAGCTAATAATTGTACTATCTATCATTCAAGGTGCTCTTTGTGGATGGGTAACATGTCTGCAGCAGTACTTTTCAACATTCATTAGTAATTGCTAACAGACATTAATGCAGGTAACATTCAGAAAACATTTCCATAAATTTACTAAGTGGGGCAGGTAGAGTCTGATTCTGAGTTCTGAATAACAAAATTCTTAGCATCACAGAACAATTGGATGGAGACTTTGACTAGATTATGTGTCCACTATTTCATTGAAACAATCCCACTTACTGTATTCTAATATGTTATGGCACAAGTATATCATAACATCATAAGTTTGCTACCTAATTTTACAGCTAATTAACTTCACAGTTATGGTCTTGAGAACCGGATATTCCTTTGAAGGAATGGCATGTAGAAGTGTTATGCTTTGCTCTCTGATTCCTTTTCCTCATACTTTTGTCCATAAAATCAAGAGCACACAACCACATCATAAACAAGTAAGGTTTGCTTTAGAAAGAACTTTGCATTTCCAGTTTCATTGCCCATGAGTGAAGGAAGTTGGGTGTGGGGCTGAGGGGTCTATTTACCTTACATTTCCAGAAAGTAAATCTAGTCTTTGGGTTAAGAGTCTAAGTTCTGGTGTTAGAACACATGTGTAATTTTGGGCAAGTTACTTAACTTCTCTGTGACTCAATACTCTTATTATGAAGATAAATATAATAACTATAGGGTTGTTGTGAGAAAAGAATATAAACCAATCCAAATTTAGCAGTGTCTTGCACATAGACAATAAACAATAATATTTAATTTCTGAATTTTACTGTTTTATTGTCTAGAGTATGGGTGAAAAGAAATGAAAAATCTTGTTCCTATTTAAGATGGTAGGTCTCCATCTTAAAAAGAAAATAAATTTTCTGACATACATCCTAATGGCCAGAAAGATTCCAAATTCTCAAAATTCAAGGGCAATAAATGGGAAAATGAATATTTAAATATTCTGAGATTTAAAGGTCTTCTATTTTCATTTACTGACTAGAACTATGGCGTATCTCCAGCGATAGAGTAAGAAATATGGCCAGATACTCATCACTCATTACATTTGAAATATGAAACTATTATTCAAAGGTACTTATCTAGATAAAAAAGGAAGATAGAGAAAATATCTCAAAACATGATTAGTGTTTAAACACTGCTCGTACCTATAATATATATATACCTATAATACATGGAAGATAGAGCAAATATCTCAGAACATGATTAGTGTTTAAGTACTGCTCGTACCTATAGCAGCAGGATGCTACTGCCATCTAGTGAAATTTTAGTAAACTACACTTGAAAGCAGGCTAACTGGTATTTGCTTTGAAAAGGATTAAAACTATTGAAACTATCTTTTATCTTTTCGCCATCAAAATCAACACACAACCTCCATTTCCAGACACAGAATCTTGTCTTCTTGTTAATGGAAATTCACATTTGACATACTGAACTATGCAGACAATCTGACAGCCATCTTTGTTGTCATTTAATAGGAATTCTATAAATACCAGAAGTGTAGATTTCCAAGAAGATGGGGAGTACACCTATTTGGTTCACTTTTAATAGTAAACACAATAGAACTAAAAGCATATGTGTTTTAATAAATATGTTTGATGTGAAAGTGGTGGTAGCTGAATTTTAGAAACAAATGACATTAATTACATTTTGAATACAGCTGGGAAGATAGAGCTGGGATCAGCTGCTTTGCATTCTTAGAAACCTAAACTATCTATTCCCAGAGTCACATCTGTCAAGAAGTACTGGAATACACAATTTTTAGAAAGCAATCAATACATATTTGCTCAGTGAAACAAAAAGAATAAATCATGCATGTCAGTATTTCTCAGTGAGAGAATATTGGGATTTTGAGGGAAGAGACAATTAACTGCTATATTTTTCATCTCTGAATGATAGGACACTCCACAACACTTGGCTCTATGGCACAAGAAACAGTTATTCCTCCGATCCACATTGATGCCTCTCTGACATTTCTAAATGTCTGCGGGAGAATCACTGGGAGTCACTGACATGTGTAAATAAATCACTGATACAAAAATTAAAGGGAATATAAAATACAGCATTCTCTCTTAGAAGTACATTACAATTTAGCTGAGTCAAGTTTTATTGTTTAAAAAATGGATTCTTGAATATGTGCCTTATTTTTATAGAGGCAAAGCTGCTTTTAGATCTATTAAGAGAAAGCATAGAGATGATTTCTTAGGCTGCAAAAAGTTAATTTATGAACATATTAACAGCAAATAGTTCTCAAAATGACATGGAGTAGGTCCAGATCAGGAGCACAAAGTTAATAAAAAGATTCCCTTCAGTGGAACAAAATGGAAGGGGAAAGCAATAATAAAAGCTAACTTTAATGAGTGCTTTCTCAGCCAACGTTCTAGACAATTGGTTTGCTTCCTCTTACTATGGTCACAGAAACTCTCTGAGGTAGCTACTGACATCATTCACATCTTAAAGAAGGATAAACTTCTGAAAGGGATACTACAACTTACTTGCTTGCAGCCCAGAGACTCAAGTATCAAAACAGTATATAAGCCACATTTCATTTCCATGATTCTGGTCTTGGAAAGTTGCCCAAGTACTTCATCTCTCCTGTTCCCATCACAAAGGTCATCCTACTTAAAACTTTTCAAGTAGATTTCCAACTTGAGGTTTTATTGCTGGCAAAACAGTTTGCCAGCTTGATGACTGCATCTTAATAAACTGTACTTTAAGAAGAAACCAGAAGGTCCCTAAGTTGATTAGCATGGCTAGTTATGAGCACTATGTACTGAGTTTTTTTGCCAAATACTTTAAACTACCTGACAAAATCCAACCTTAATTCAATATGGTCATCTATGTTCTCTACGTTTGAACCCAGAAGATAAGTCATTTTAATAAAGCTGATACAAGAAAATTCAGATGGTACCACTCTCAAGCGATCATTAACTTCATCTCTGTCCTCAATATGGCCAGAGTTTCTCTACTTCTCTGTTTCTCTAATGAGTTCTATCTTTCATACTCTGAGGACCACTCATCTCCTGGACACCTCCATGTTTCTTCACTCACTTCTCTTTCCTGACGCTATTTAAGGAAATGGAAGCCTTCGGAAAAGAACTTTAGCAACTTTCTACTAGTAGGGCCAGCTAACTGATAGCTCATCTATAACCCTTTCTCTTTTCCTCCTGGCACGCAAAGGGAGTACCTTTCCTGCTGAGATGGGAAGGTATATCTTGCCATGTGGTTTAACAGCCATACCCCACACTTTCTCAAAGACCCAGTACAGCTGATTGCATTCTCCATATGCACAATCATTCCTCTTTACTAAATCCTTTCACTAGGTATTGAATTTCAGATGAGTAAACTCCTTTCACCTAATACTAACTAACCAGGACGACAAACTTACCTGTATATGTGCAACTGTTTTCCCAAAAGCTTTTCTTTGTTTAACATAGTTCCTGGTTTCTTCAAACATGAATTCACAGGCTGAAATTGCCAACTCAGCAATCAACAGTCTTTCCTGTAACCCAAACAGTTGGTCTTGAACACTATTTGAAGTATACAAGTGATTTCCACATCATTTCAATAACAAGTCTCATGAAAAATCTTTATAAATGTCCTTAAAATTGATTGTATAACTCTTTATAAAGAAAAGGCTCCCATAAAATTTCTAAGAATATTTTGACATATCAGTAATAATATTCTGAAGAAAATCCTTTATTTTAATGTCTTTATATATATATATATATATATATATATAGTTAACTGAATTCCCTCTTCTGTTTACCTACCTATTTAAAAAAAATGAAGTCTTAATTTTTTATGTATTTATCTCTGTGCATTACATGTCCTAAATTATCTGAAAATCAGCATAAAGTGCCTAGATTAAATTCTGCCAATGAGTACAGAAGGATCCACAGTCAATTTAATTCTATCTCATTGGTGAGTTTCATATTTCATTTCTATACCAGGGTTCCTAGCCTTTGTGCTCAATTTCATGCTTAGTACACACTGTGACAGTCACTTGACACATGCCCCTTTTTCTGTGCACATACAAGACTCAATGACCACGCAGCCATGATAGTCCAAAAACACAGATGTGAGGGGTGACCTACATTGCTACAACTTCTCTGTCTGAACTCTGCACCTTTCCCCTTTCCCCGCAGGTACTATAAAAACAACTCTTCCAAATATTTTCATTGATATTTTCTTATAAAGAGATAAAATTCTCAACCAAATTAGTTAAGAAGCTAAAATAATTTCATGCAATCACAGAACAGAAATAGCTACTTCACCACTCACTTGTAAGCTAGGATTGCAGATCCCTGAGTAATGTTATTCCCTTATCTAACCAACATAAACTCATTTTTTCTGTAATTTCCATGTTGCACACAAATGATTTGTTGTATCACAAGTCTTGCATGCATGGAGTGTACATTCTCTTACTCCAGTCTACCATCTAATCAAAAGATAGAATCTTATATTTCTGACCTGTGGAAGCTCTTGCATGAGGTAATAGAAGCCTTTATTCTCTTCTCCAAGCAGGGCACTCGCTGGCAAACGCACATCTTCAAAGAATAATTCTGCAGTATCCTAAGTGATCAGACAAATAAGCAAAGCATTCATTTAAACCTCTACTAGCCCAATGAAGAAACAAAACAAACAAGCAAGCTGGGAGCTGAGTCAGAGAGCTGAATGAACACAACTAGCAAGGGACAAAGCAGGGATGTAAGCCCAGCTCCAGCTGACCACAAAACCAGAACAGCTGACCACAAAACCAGTGCCTTCCTACTGCTGTGTCATGTGACCCAAGCCCTAATATTGTCCAGTTTATAGGTAGTGAGAACTGACACTTTTAATCATATTGAGTAAAATAGTTTAAACAATTCTATTATTATTTAATCATTTCCTTCAATAATTTCAGAGGGCCAATTATCCTGCATGTAATGTTGCCATTTCTAAAACATCCAAAATACCCTATTCACCTTCATTGCTGACCACCAGAAAGACACAGTTACATAAACGGTGAAGTAAAACGCCAGTCTATTCCTGGAAAGGGTATTTTAGGAATTCAGCCTAGGGAGGTGTGACTTATGACATGTACTTCTACAGACCGAGAAAGCTTGATTATTTCTAATTAAGAATGTATTAATAACGGAGTCCATTAAGAAATGACTATCACTTATATTATGACTTACCTGGGCTTTTAGACCCATTTTATGTAGCTTTCGTCCTTTGATGAATCCTTTCATTCCGTTTTCCACCAGAAAAAGGCTGATGCCATGGGCAGGAGAGCGAGCTTCGCGACTGGTCACGGCTACCACGATCACAACGTCACTGAGCCACCCATTCGTGATGAAAACCTGCAGATGAAGCGCTCTCTGAAGCTGCAGACTGCACAGGTCCCTGGGGGTCCTTGCTGGGGGCACAGTAGGCAGGAAGACAGGCTGTATCCTTCTTCCTGTCCCTAACTCAGAGTGCAGTGATGAGTTTTCATACATACGCTTACTAAAGAGGAAGGGTAAACATCCCAGGTTTGGAAGAACGAGGTCGTCCTGCTTTCTATTAATATTATAAATAATAATGATAAAAATGAAGACAGGTGAGCTTTCCAAAGTACAACAAAATTGCCTTTAAAATAATAAACTGGGGGCCCTCCCTGGTGGCGCAGCGGGTTAAAGCACTGCACTGAGAAGCTAAAGCCACTTCCGCATGAGTTCGATTCCTGCCTGCCCCGGAGGTGACCACATGGCGTGGCAGACCTCTCCTGACCCGCCCACTGCTCCCCTCAGCAGTGTACTTCGTCGATCTGCCTGTTCTGCTCCCCACTCTGTCTCTGGTGAAGCCTCTCACCGTCCCTGAGCCTCTGGCCTGTACCCCAGCTCTGTATGCACAAATAAATAAATCTTTAAAAATAATAATAACAGGCCCTCCCTGGTGGCGCAGCGGGTTAAAGCACCGCACTGAGAAGCTAAAGCCACTTCCGCATGAGTTCGATTCCTGCCTGCCCCGGAGGTGACCACATGGCGTGGCAGACCTCTCCTGACCCGCCCGTTGCTCCCCTCAGCAGTGTACTTCATCGATCTGCCTGTTCTGCTCCCCACTCTGTCTCTGGTGAATCCTCTCACCCTCCGCATCTCTGGCTTGTACCCCAGTTCTGTATGAATAAATAAATAAATCTTTAAAAAATAATAATAATAACAATAAACTGTGTTTTACTGTGTCGTTTTTATTAACCAGTTTATTTCTGTTTTTCAGACATCCTTGTTTATTTTTTCACAATAGGGCATTTCTCCCCTCAGGTGTGGGGATCATTGTTTCCATCACCAACAATGCCCCCATCACCAACGTGCCCACCCTCCTCCAATGCTCTCCTCCCACTCTCCTTCACCGTCCCTTCTCCTCTTTCTCCCCCTATTTTGGAAAGAAGCTGCATATAAGAAAAAGGAACCTGCTCTAATTCGTGCAATTGTATTAAAGTATTTGTACTCTTAGATTTATCTATTTCTGAAAAAGTGTGGTTTTGATTTTCATTATTTTCCTCTGCTGTTAAAAACCGTGTACCAATGTTTTAATGGGTATATACTCATTCATTGTTGCTTACTTATTCCTTTACTTAGGCTTGCTTTAGTTTTTCTTCTCGTCCTAACAGAGCCTGGGACCAGATTCAGTGTTCCCACAGAAGATGAACTGAGCAGAGTGTAGAAAGATGAAGTTGTAAATATCCTACTTTTCTGCCAAAATTAGCCCTCTGTGGGTAGAGTTAACTGATTGTACATTGGCATTAACACTTATTATTCTTAGGATAAATCATTTAGAATAATATTTCTTAAAATGTTTGAAAAACATCGGTGACTTAAGATACTTTATAAGAAGAATTTCCTAGGGTATAAGACATATCTATCTTTAAAAGGTTCACAATGCATATCAAAGAGTGGGAAATTATGTATATTTTCTGAATGTATTTGATACCACTGTTTTTCTTTTTAATTATAAAACTAGATTATGGAATGGCCTTTAGAAATGGACTGCTCAAAATGTGTCCTTCAGACTAATGTCACTCCACAAACTATTCTACATAAGCACAGAAACTGTATGTTTAGAAAATTTCGTTGTAATTCGACATGGCCACATCTTTTAAACTCTTAGCTTTGTAAGTGTAAAAGTACAGAAAACAAAAATGAGTCCTTCAACAGGCCTTGAAACATATTTTTACATGATTTCCTTACAGCAGAAAATGAACATCCTTCCCTCACTTTACAGTTAAAAAGTATTTACTAGAGTGCATACCAGATTCAGCTTTAGGTGGAAAAATCTCTACCATCAGCAACAACAGCTTCTAAGGGATATATTTACTCTGAATCTGTCTGGGACTTTTTTTTTTTCAAAAGTTTATTTTTACATCATTTTGTACATTTCTTTTTTTCCATCTCGATTGTAATCCCCGCGAGTTTCCCATCACCAAGTCATGCCATGTGCCATCACCGTAACCCCGTGCATTTCCCTCCCCCCCGCCCCCGTTTTTATTGTCTGGGGCTTTTTTTAAAGATTTATTTATACAGCATACAAGAACTGGGGAACAGGCCAGGGGTGTAAGGGGTGAGAGGATTCACCAGAGACAGAGTGGGGAACAGGCAGATTTACTGGAACACACAGTCAAGGGGAGCAGCAGGCAGGACAGGAGAGGTCTGCCACACCATGTGGGTCACAGCCCCTGCAGCTGTAGTGGCTGCAGATAGCTTTGTCGTGCTGTGCTTTAATGCATTGCGCCACCAGGGAGGGCGAGGGGCTCTCTAATTCTATCAAAGATATCTTTCTCTTCTAAGATAGTGAAAGTTTTGATAGTTACGAGAACATTTTTTCCCAATTGCTCATTAAACTTTTTTGATTAATTGTTTGTCCTGTGCCTAGACAATTTGAACTTTACTTCCCCTTTTCTGGCTGTAGAAGGGCTGTCTGAAAGCTACAAAAGCAGCAGTCATGTGAAGGGAGGGGTCAAGCAAAATGCAAAGTAAAGGAGAAGCTCACTTCACATAATACGTATGGTACAAATGTCTTGCTGTCTCGAAAACAAACCTAAGCAAACTCAGTTTTTTCATGAGTTCCTAGACATGATATAATAGATGTGGCTATGCAGGGTGCAATTTGGGTGAGGGCCGTGGGAAAC